ATATTTTGCAACCGAAAATTTAACAAATATTTGGCGTTGCTGCCGCCGCTGCTATTACATTGGCAGCGCTGAACAAGCACAATTAACTAAACATTCAACACAGTCAATAATACCGACCTTCAAAAGAAAAAGTGTATAATTATCTAAATTAACATTTTATTAGTTGATTTGATATCTTCGCTTCTCTCCCCCTCAAATATAACATCTTGAAAGTCCCGCTCTTTGACATTCGCGTGAATTGTGTTTTCAAAAAAAAAATCTATCACCTTATCAAGTGTTGTAGATTCCTTTTGCGACTCATCTGAGTTTTTTTTTCTTCTGTTCAGCCTATTGCACATGTTTTAAATAACAAAAACTACAATCGCTATTCGAAAATGTTGAAGACATAAGGATAACTTAGTTTTTTAAATAAAAACCATTAATAAAGATGTCTAACATTTTATAATTGCAATAATTAAATGGCATTTGTATACAATGCATATACAACATGTAATTGTTTTAAACAGCACATACTTTTGATTAAATATGAATTTTATTTGAAATATCTTGGTGTAAAAAAACATTTTTCCAGATGCAGCTTTTTCAATTTCCTTCATTTGATGGAATCTTAACTCAAGATGTCATCAAATTAGTTAAATTGCATTTACGATGTATCAGCCTCTTCATGGACATATTCCATTTAAATATAATAATCAATAGCAACCCACAACAGAACACGAGCAGCAGCAACATTGGTTGCAGCGTTAACAGTACAGCAATTAGCAGCAATACCAACAACATCACTGACAACAGCAGCAGCAGCATCGTCAACATTGACAATTGCATCTTCGGCAGTGTCGCTGCAGCCTCAGCAGCGGTGAATGCAACAGTAGTGGCAGCAACAGCACCATCCGCCGCCATGCAACAGCAGAACTGTAACGGCAGCGATATCAGCAATTGCAGCAGCATTCATCATCATCGTCAGCATCAACAAGTCGGACCGGCATCGCAAACGGCAGCAGTACTTTCAGCCCCAAAAACATCAGTTACCGTCGACGGCATTGACCCCATTAACAGCAGCAGCAGCAGCAGCCTAATGTGCAATCGTTAACTGCAATCGAAGTGGGACATCAAGGGAAACGTTCGCTGCGACGAGAGAGAGAGAGGAGCGACAGCGATGTCGGGGGAGGGCGTGCGGGGGATGAGCGTGGAGATGCTCGCGTCCATGCTGGAGAGGGCGGTTCTTGGTGGCAAGGTGGTGGACTCAAGCGGCCGCGGTTGTGGCGGCGGGGGCGGCGGCGCTTGCGAATGCGGCGACGTTGGCGGCGCCGGCACGACGACATTGCCGACGTCAACAATAGCGGGGTTGATTTTTTTGGTGTTTTCGGCGATGCCGGTGGCGGCGGCGGCGGCGGCGACGATCCTGCAGCTGACGGCGTTAATAGTCCCGCTGACGTTGCCGATGGTCATGCCGAACGTGTTGCCAATCGCGCAAATAGCGTGCCAACCCTGCTCGTGATCGACGGGCGAACTTTCGCCGAGTTCAACAGCTGCCACGTGGCGTCGGCGCTCAACGTGTGCTGCTCCAAGCTGGTGCAGCGGCGGCTGCAGCAGGACAGGTGTCCGTGTTGGAGCTCGTGCAGCACGCGGCAACGAGCGGGTCTCAGGTGCGCTGACGGAGCTTTCGTGCTCCCCTTGTGTTGAAGAACTCTTCGCGCCTACGGATGCACGGTCGCTCTGTCTCCTCTGAGTGTAGGGGGTCGGCAACCAAAGTAACAAGGAGACTACTTTTTTAGAATTTGGTCAAACAAAACCTCAATATTTCAAGAGCCGCAATGCAAGTGGTGATTACGAGACGGTGTGCTGCTTAATAAATAACGTCACGAAGCGTCCTTAATGAGCCGCATGCGGCTCTGGAGCCGAGAGGTTGCCGTGCCCTGCTTGAAAGTGTAAACAAGTAAACCCGTAAAAACAAAGTTTTTCACTATAAATCCTTTATATGCGTGGCATCGGGGCGGCTAGAGTCCTCTCGTCCTCTGGCTTGAGATGGCTGCCACCTATGGGTCAGATGATTGTCTGGCAGCATTAAACAATTGGTAATTAAATATTTAATTTTCTTTTCCCTAAACAGTGTAAAATTTTGGAATTTTTTTCACGAAAATGCATTGTCACGCACAACGAGTCTGTGTGCAAAATGTCAGCTCGATTGGATCACGGGAATGGGTTAAAAAAACGACCGAAAGATTTGCACGGTCCTAAGCAAGCAAGCAAGCGAACTTAATAAAGGATTTAAAAACTGAATGAAGTTGAAACGCTTTTTAAATGGCTTCCCGCAAGGGGGCAGCAAAAGAGCTGTAAGGGGTCAGCCAAAGAGCCGCATCTTGGTGGATGTGTAGAGTGTGCAGAGTGTGCGGAGTGTGCAGCGTTGGCCGAGCGGTGTTTGTGGTCACGCAGGTGGAGGCCGGTGGCCGGGGGCGCGTCGTGGTGGTGGTGTACGACCAGCGCTCGCCGTCCGCTGCATCGCTGCCGCCCCACGGCTTCGTGTCCGTGCTGCTGGGGAAGCTCCGTCGGACGTTCTCCGACGTCTACCTCCTCAATGGTGAGAATCCCCTCATCCTAAAAGAGCAAGGCAGTCTGTGGAGTAACTCGATTTGCAACGTGGCGACGTGCTGGCGTGACGTTGTCGTGCGATTTCGTTGGGCCATTTGGAGCCGGGTCCAAAAAACACAAATGGGGGCGGTAAGGAAGAATCTGTGTGGCTGCCGAATATGGGGACTGAACGCTCACTGAGAGCGTAAATAAGCAACGAAGCGTGCACATTAGACCGGCCAACCGGCCCCTGAATGGACCGGCCCACGGGCATTGTCCCTATGGACTGCTGCCCTCTGGCCAGTCCGGTCCTGGCTGTGCTTCACAGGCTCAGTCTGCAGTCGCTTCGCCCCAGGGGCCGATGATTGCTTTGTGTTCTCACAGTTTGGTGATTTGCGGGTAATTTCCGCTAACTTTGCGGGTGGCTGTTGGGTAATTATCTCGCTGTGGGTTCGTTTGCTTGGCAGACAAGCGCCATGAATGGGAGGCCTGGAATCGCCCACAAGGTGGCAGTCATGTCCACGTGGGCAAGTCAACAGTGGTTATCCTGTGGATTGCCTGCCTCCACCATAGGAATTAAGATTATCTATAATGGATCAAGGCTGCAATAAGGGTGGGGATTAGCACTACCTCAAATTATTTTGGAGCAAGAAATCGCCGAATTTTTTGCGTTGTTGAAAGCAGAATTTTGTGTGTGTATCTGTGTGTATGGGGAGTGGTGGTGTAGCGGTTAGCGCGCTGCGCTACGAACCCGGCGACTCAAGTTCGATTCCTGCTCACGGCCAACACCAGTAACAAATATCTGAACCGGTCCTGGGCCTCCCCTAGGTCGACTCAGCCTCAAATGAGTACCCAGTGCAGTGTGAAACATCGCCACAAGGGAGACAAAGGCGGCCGGGCGTGGTGTTCGCCACCCACCGCCTCGTGTACCGTTCTGGCCTTCATAGGTACTGCTTGCTAGCAGCACTTGCCCCAACAGTCTGTTAAGGCTATACGGGGGGGGATCTTGTCTTTGTGTGTGCGCTGCATGTGTGCAGGTGGATTTGCTGCATTTCAGCTGCTGTTCCCGCAGCTGTGTGAGAACGCTAGCCGCGTGGACACTCGCACGCCACCTCTTGCGCAGCCCGTGTCCAGCCCTTCGTTGCACCTTCGCGACACTGGTCCGACCTGCATCTTGCCCTACCTCTACCTCGGCTCTCAGCGTGACGTCCTCAACAAGGCAAGTGGCTGAAAACCTCACTCATGAATGTAAACGAGACAGACCTCTGGAGCACCTTGATTAGGAATGCTGCCTTGGTGTTGGCGATATCCTGACATATTTGGTCATTGGCTGTGTTGGGTGGAGTAGGCTTTACGGCACACATATTACTTACGCGACATGACACATTAAATTAAATACGAATCGAAGTGTTGGTCGGGAATGCCCGCATGTTAGTAAACTCATCCACTTTCCTGTATCCTCGCCATACATAATCAGAATATTTATTTATAGTGCAGGAATCCGATGAGCTATGAAGCTATTTTTAAATCCTTTATATTAAGTTCGCTTGCTTGCTTGCTTGCCTGCTTTCGTGCTTGCTTGCTTGCTTAGGACTGTGCAAATCTTTCGGTCGTTTTTTAGCCCACTTCCCGTGATCCAATCGAGCTGACATTTTGCACACAGACTCGTTGTGCGAGACAATTAATGTTCGTGAAATTTTTTCCCAAAATTTTACACTGTTTAGGGAAAACAAATTAAATATTTAATTACCAATTGCTTAATACTGGCAGACAATCATCTGACCCATAGGTGGCAGCCATCTCAAGCCAGAGGACGAGAGGACTCTAGCCGCCACGCATAAAGGATTTAGAGTGAAAAACTTTGTTTTTACGGGTTTACTTATTCACAGATGTTCAGTAGGGGCACCTTGTAAGAACGTTACAACAACGAAGAGTGCAAAAACACGGTAGTAGTGCAAAGTACGAGATAAGCAAACATATCACCCAAACGCAACTCAAACGAAACCATCCCCATCCTACCAGGCAATGCCCCACTGAGGTATCAACTTATTTTCAGAAGCGACCTGGCCAAATGATAGCTCAACAAAGTAGGCCATCATTTGGACATTTATAGCGCCAAAATAATCTCAATCATCTCAATGCATGTTTTTAAAGGCAGAGGAAAAACCGGAGGACCTGGAGAAGAAATCCTCGAGACCACAGGGAGAACATGCAAGCTCCGAATAGAGGAGTCGGGGGGTCGGGATCGAACCCCCGACCTCCCGCATCCTGGGCGAAGTAGTTAACATCAATTATAGATTCGAAGCTTTCGTGACTGCAAGGATTCATACTCTTAGGTTTTTTCGGTAAAGTCACGTAGGTAAAAAATAAAATAAAAAGTTAATAAAAGTAATAATGGAAATAAAATAAAATAATAAATCACATTTTTATTATTTTATTTCCATTATTACTTTTATTAACTTTAAATTTTATTTTTTACCTACGTGACTTTACCGAAAAAACCTAAGAGTGTAGTTAACATCACACCACCGTGGCCCAATTGTTGACAATAAGAGTTACGCTGCGTCTTATTTCTCCAAACCTGAGAGTGTACACAGAGGCGTATGTATTTGTGCGTGCCTTGGTATTCACACAAAGGAAAGTGGTCACTACGAACCCGGCCACCCGAGTTCAATTCCCGCCCACGGCCGACACCATTGACGAATATCTGAACCGATGTTGGGCCTCCCCCAGATCGACTCAGCCTTAAACGAGCACCTTGTGCGGTGTACCAACGTCAGCATAGTGGAGACAATGTCAGCTGTGCGTGGTGCTGGCCATCCACATGCCTTCGTGTGGCGTGCCGGTCTTAACAAGTGCTCGCAAACAGCAGCACTTGGCCCCAACGGTCTTATAAGGCTATAACAGGAGGGGATCTTTGTCTTTATACTCTTAGGTTTTTTCGGTAAAGTCACGTAGGTAACATAATAATAATAAATAAAAATTTATGAAAAGAACTAAATTGAACCACGACGTTTCGAGGCAACACAAGTCTTTCGTCTTCAGGTGGGACCGTCACAGCTAAATTTACTGTATTAAGTGAAGAGAAATCCAGAGACAAGACTTATATACTGGTTAACGGGAGGGGGGAGGAGCTTATCTACATGTGTCAGTCAGGGACTGGGAGGGTGGCTATAAGGGGGTGGCGGGCTAAGAAGGGGAGTGTGGGCGGGGCTAGAAGGGAGGGTGGGGCGGGGCTAGAAGGGAAGGTGGGCGGGGCTAGAAGGGAAGGTGGGCGGGGCTAGAAGGGAAGGTGGGCGGGGCTAGAAGGGGGAGGTGGGCGGGGCTAGAAGGGGAAGTGGGCGGGGCTAGAAGGGAAGGTGGGCGGGGCTAGAAGGGAGGTGGGCGGGGCTAGAAGGGGGAGGTGGGCGGGGCTAGAAGGGGAGGTGGCGGGGCTAGAAGGGAAGGTGGGCGGGGCTAGAAGGGGAAGGTGGGCGGGGCTAGAAGGGGAAGTGGGCGGGGCTAGAAGGGGAAGTGGGCGGGGCTAGAAGGGAAGGTGGGCGGGGCTAGAAGGGGAAGGGGGGGGGCTAGAAGGGGGAGGTGGGCGGGGCTAGAAGAGGGGGAAGTGGGGGCGGGGCTAGAAGGGAAGGGGGGGGCTAGAAGGGAGGTGGGCGGGGCTAGAAGGGGAGGTGGGCGGGGCTAGAAGGGGAGGTGGGCGGGGCTAGAAGGGGAGGTGGGCGGGGCTAGAAGGGGGGTGGGCGGGGCTAGAAGGGGAAGTGGGCGGGCTAGAAGGGGGAAGTGGGCGGGGCTAGAAGGGGGAAGGTGGGCGGGGCTAAAGGGGAGGTGGGCGGGGCTAGAAGGGGAAGTGGGCGGGGCTAGAAGGGGAGGTGGGCGGGGCTAGAAGGGGAAGTGGGCGGGGCTAGAAGGGAAGGTGGGCGGGGCTAGAAGGGAAGGTGGGCGGGGCTAGAGGGGAAGGTGGGCGGGGCTAGAAGGGGAAGGTGGGCGGGGCTAGAAGGGAAGGGGGCGGGGCTAGAGGGGAGGGGGCGGGGCTAGAAGGGAAGGTGGGCGGGGCTAGAAGGGGAAGTGGGCGGGGCTAGAAGGGAAGGTGGGCGGGCTAGAAGGGGAAGGTGGGCGGGGCTAGAAGGGAAGTGGGCGGGGCTAGAAGGGAAGGGGGCGGGGCTAGAAGGGAGGGGGCGGGGCTAGAAGGGAAGGGGGCGGGGCTAGAAGGGGAGGGGGCGGGGCTAGAAGGGAGGGGGCGGGGCTAGAAGGGAGTGGGCGGGCTAGAGGGAGGGTGGGCGGGGCTAGAAGGGAAGTGGGCGGGGCTAGAAGGGAAGTGGGCGGGGCTAGAAGGGATGTGGCGGGGATAGAAGGGAAGGTGGGCGGGGCTAGAAGGGGATGGGGCGGGGCTAGAAGGGAAGTGGGCGGGGCTAGAAGGGGAGGTGGGCGGGGCTAGAAGGGGAGTGGGCGGGGCTAGAAGGGAAGGTGGGCGGGGCTAGAAGGGGATGTGGGCGGGGCTAGAAGGGGAAGGGGCGGGGCTTAGAAGGGGAGGTGGGCGGGGCTAGAAGGGAAGTGGGCGGGGCTAGAAGGGGAGGTGGGCGGGGGCTAGAAGGGAGGTGGGCGGGGCTAGAAGGGGAGGTGGGCGGGGCTAGAAGGGAAGGTGGGCGGGGCTAGAAGGGGAAGTGGCGGGGCTAGAAGGGAAGTGGGCGGGGCTAGAAGGGCAGTGGGCGGGGCTAGAAGGGAGTGGGCGGGGCTAGAAGGGGAGGGGGCGGGGCTAGAAGGGGAGGGGCGGGGCTAGAAGGGGAGGGGGGCGGGGCTAGAAGGGAAGTGGGCGGGGCTTAGAAGGGGAGGTGGGCGGGGCTAGAAGGGTGAAGTGGGCGGGGCTAGAAGGGAAGGTGGGCGGGGCTAGAAGGGAAGGTGGGCGGGGGCTAGTAGGGGCAGGTGGGCGGGACTAGAAGGGAAGGTGGGCGGGGCTAGAAGAGGAAGGTGGGCGGGGCTAGAAGGAAGGTGGGCGGGGCTAGAAGGGAAGGTGGTCGGGGCTAGAAGGGGAGGTGGTCGGGGCTAGAAGGGAAGGTGGTCGGGGCTAGAAGGGAAGTGGGCGGGGCTAGAAGGGAAGTGGGCGGGGCTAGAAGGGAAGGTGGGCGGGGCTAGAAGGGAGGTGGTCGGGGCTAGAAGGGAAGGTGGGCGGGGCTAGAAGGAAGGTGGTCGGGGCTAGAAGGGAAGTGGCGGGGCTAGAAGGGAAGGTGGGCGGGGCTAGAAGAGGAAGTGGGCGGGGCTAGAAGGGAAGGTGGGCGGGGCTAGAAGGGGAGGTGGTCGGGGCTAGAAGGGAAGTGGGCGGGTCTAGAAGGGGAGGTGGGCGGGGCTAGAAGAGGGGTCAAGTGAAGAACCTCCACAGGGATTACGGCCGATGTTGGCTTCCAAAACCAATTTTATTTTATTATTATTTTTTTACCTACGTGACTTTACCGAAAAAACCTAAGAGTATGAATCCTTGTCTTTGTGTGCACCCCCCCCCCCCCGCATGCTCACCGCAGGAGGTGATGCTGCAGAGCGGCATTACACACGTGCTGAACGCGAGCGTCGGCTGCCCGCGACCGGACTTCATCCCCGAGGGGAACTTCCTGCGCGTGCCGGTGCACGACAGCTACTGCGAGAAGATCCTGCCCTGGCTCGATTGCACGGCAAACTTCATCGGTGAGCACGTGACCCACATCTCGCCCCCCCCACTAATAAAAAAAAATCATGACCCTTAGTGCGGCTCGGCTGGATGGCATATCTCATGCGGCACAGTGGCGAGATGTTAACTCCCTCGCCTGTTATACAGGAGGTTGTGGTTTCGATCCCGGCCCTGACGCCTGCTGTATATTTTGGAGTTTGCGTCTCTCTCTCTCACTCTTGTCATCATCACGGTGGCTAGGAGATGTTAACTACCTTGCCTGGTATACAGGAGGTTGTGGTTTCGATCCCGGCCCTGACGCCTGCTGTATATATGGAGTTTGCATGTCTCTCTCTCTCCTCGCGTGGTTTTTCTCTCCGGGTCCTCCAGTTTTCCCCTCCACATTTAGAATTAATGTCGCTGCTATACATTTCTATGTGATAAGCCACACGGTTGGGCTATCATTCTGGCCAGGTCGCTTCTGAAAAAGAGCTATATAGCTCCGTGGGCCTTACCTGGTACATGTTGTTTATGTCGTTTATTGTGAAATTTGGTCACAGTTCCTATGATCACTGTTACATTGCTTTATGGCTTTATTTTGGTGATTTCGAAAAAAAATTGGTTTGGCCATGTTTGTTTGTTGTAGTACGGAGTGTGGTTGTTGTTGTTGTTGTTTGACTGGCATCCCACTGGGATTTTGCACACAGCGTTGGTGTACGGTGCTTTTTTTCTGGAAGACTTTGCAGTTTTTTCCTGGATTTTCTTTTTGCGCATAGTCACTTTAAGATGTTTCCTTGTTCATGTTTTTGTTTTTTGTTTGTTGCGGTTGCACCCGATTCAAGAGAGCCGAATGGCTCACAGGGCTATACCAAATAAATGAAACTGAAATGAAACTGAAAACCTGGTAAGATAAAAAATAGTTTAAATTTACTTTAAATGTCATGGCCGATGCAAAGTGCGAGTGCTCACATGAGTTCTGGAGGTCCCGACTGCCCGGTGCTTTTCAGCGGTGACACGCGCACGCACAGCCTCAATCCTAGTCGATGTCAGAATCCGAATCGGCAAATATTATTAGTACTGGAGGAATCCAACGAGCGAGAAGCTCTTTTTTATCCGCAGACTTCCAGTAGGGGCACGGGCTCAGAGCGTTACAGCAACAAACAATACGAAAACACGCTGGGAGCGCAAAGTATATGAAACGTAAACAAATCGCTTAAAATATATATTCGTGTGTGTCTGCGTGTGCGTGCCTGGCTGCCCCTCCCTCCCCCCACCACACGACCCGCTTTGCGCTCTTAGAGGGCGTGCGTGAGCGCGGGAGCCGCGTGCTGGTCCACTGCCTCGCCGGGATATCGCGCTCGGCCACCGTTGCGATCGCGTACGTCATGCGCTGCAAGCGCCTCTCATCGGACGACGCCTACAGGTCCTGCCGACTCACCCGCTCGCTCCGCCCCCCTCCCGCCCTCACCGCCTCCCCCACGTACCCCCCTCCACTCGCTCACCAATCCGTTTATTACTCACCTGATGGCTGGCTCACTCGCCCACGCTCGTACTCATTGATGACGAGCGTCGCGTGGGTTGAAGACATGGAGGGAAATTAGGTGGGTATTGTGACTTCCCTGGCTGGTGAGTTTTTGTAAGAGACGGCCGTTCAACTCTGCCCAAAGCGTTACTTTTATGCAGGCGTCGATTTTTGGTTTGTTCGCTCCGTGAAATGTATCGCGGCATTTTGTCTTGGGTAAAATGAGATTGGGGCTGTTGAGCATGTTATGGGGGGAAGAGCGTGGTACGTGGTTGGCAGGCTCAGGCGGTGGTTAACGGCACTAGCAACACATTTCAGCGGGCACCAGACATTTATGTATGGTTATAAACAAGCAACTGTGTACCTTTGCATGGAAAAAGAACGAGGAACAGGAAAGGGAATATCGAATCAGAATCTTCGTTTAGACTGGAAGAATCCGACAAGCCATGAAGTTATTTCTCACGGATGTCCATTAGGGGCACGGGGTCAGAAGGTTATACCAACAAACACGGTAGGAGTGCAAAGTAGAGAAAAGATAAACAAGTTACTAAATACAAATTAAAAAAAGTGTATCAGTACAAATTGTACAAGTACATGAATTCATGCCGAGAGAGTGACAGGGAAATAAGAGGAAAAATTACGGATGAGGAACGGACAAAAACAGGAGTGGTGGGTCAGGAGAGATGGGGATAGGGAAGACGAGGCTGGGCAAGGGCCTCGACGCTGTCCGGAAGCAGCGTGTCTTCACAGGGGAGAGGGGAGGGATTCAGATTAGAAGTGGCTACACACAAGGCACGTGATGTACGGCAAGGCTCGAGCCGATTTAGACGAATAAATGTCCGTGTAAACATCCGCCCTCTCCATTCAGTGTATATCTCGAGCGCCTTCCAGCAGCAAACTCGCTGTCCTGTTAAGTTCAGTTTAGCGCAGGGAGGAAGATTCTCGGCGCGTCACACGTCGACAGGAGCTGACGCTCGGTGCTCTGTGTGTATGTTGTAGGTTTGTAAAGGAGAAGCGCCCATCGATTTCACCCAACTTCAACTTCCTGGGGCAGCTGCTGGAGTACGAGCGTGAGCTGGGCACAAACCTCCACGTCCAGCAGCAGCAACAGCAGCAGCAGCAGCAGCACCAGCAGCAGCAACAGCACCAGCAGCAGCAAGTCCATCAACAGCAGGAGCAACAGCAACATTCCTCACACACATTGCACAGAACACAATTTCAGCATTACCTACAACTGCACCAGCAGCAGCAGCAACAGAAACTCCACGGGCAGCTGCGGCAGCAAACGTCGCTCCAGACGCAGCTGCCGCACAGCGGGCAAAGCCCGTTGCCTTGCCAACAGCAGCAGCAGCATCAGCAGAAGTCGAACCAAGAACCGCGGTCAGCAGCGTCGACGTCGACTTGGTCAGGGCAGCTCGGTCAGCGGCCCGGCACAGCGGGCGCCTCGACGGCGACGGCGCGGGGGGGCGACGCGGACGCTGCAGGCGACGGCGCCGCTCTGTGCTCACGACGCGAGTGGGGCGGGGAGGGGGAGCCAGCAGCAGCGGCGGCGGCGGCGGCCCTCTGCCTCGACATCCACTTGCCCGTGACCCCCTCGACGTTTGCGCAGCCGCAGAAGCGAAAGCAGCCAACGACGAAGCATTTCTCGCCAGTCATGGAGAACCCGGATTCGCCACTCGAGAGGACAGAGAGCGCCGAGCCCAGCGCGGACACGCGCGTGAGCACGCAGCCACCGATGGGCACGGAGACGCCGACGGGCGCGTGGGTGAAGAGGCAAGCGGGCGCACACGCGGGCAAGCGGGTGGAAGCGAATGAGCGAACGCGAGACTCCGCGGAGCCACGTTTGCCGAGCGCTCCGATCCAGAGGAGCTGCAGCGTGGAGGACTACCTCGCCACGGGGCTGTTGCTGGGCATCACGTCCGGCGCGCACGGACAGCCGTGCCTCCACCAGCATTTGCTGCAACACCGCTACTACTACCGCCAGCTCGGCCTGTGGGCCCACGCGCCGTCCGTGCCCTCGCTGACTGGGCCGTGGGATCCCAAAGTGGAGCTCCGCCGGAGGGACAAGGTGCGCTTGTGTGTTAGCGCGTAGCCTTTGTAAAGAACAGTGTTGACCGCATTCCGATTCCTCACTCTGACCACAACCATAGCCTTCAATATTCTAATTATTTTTATTTTACTAGATAAGGCCCACTGAGCTATATAATACCTATTTGTCAGACGCAACCTGGCCACAAATGATAGCTCAACGACGCGGCTTACTATCATGTGGAAATTTATAGCAGCCAAATACGCTAAACGCGTGATGCTGATTATAAATGTGGAGGTACAAACTGGAGGACCTGGAGAAAAATCCACGCGACCACAGGGAGAACATGCAAACTCCAAATATACAGGCGTCAGGGTCGGGATCGAACCGACGACCTCCTGCATAATATAACTTGCGCACCACCGATAGTTCACGTACAGACTCCTCTCTTCTGCTTGTGACTGACTTTCACCGTGAACCTGATCTGGTTTTAACCACACTGGCACGTGTTGTCGACCGCCTGTGCACTCCAATCATTGTGCTGGGCACGGTGGCCAGGATCACTCTTAGTTCATTGTTTTGGGAGGCTGGTGTTGGTGGATGGAACAGAGATTCGTTTGTGTCGCACACCTACCGTTAGGAAAGAGAGAGATTCCTGTCAGGAGAAATGCAGCTAGTCGGCTGCTGAACTGTGTTGACTCTTGAGTGTCATCCCCTTGTATGCGTGGGTTCTCTCCGCTCAGGTTTCCTCGGTAAGGGGTCGGGAAAACCTCACTGGGAGATTTTGTGAGGCCTCTTCTGTGGGTTAAACGATATTAGCAGGTCACACCCAAATGACGGGGGAGTGTTTGCCCAGTGGTTAGTGCACTGGTCTAAGCACCCAGCAACCCGAGTTCGATTCTCGGCCATGGGAAAAGATACCTAAATTGGGCCTGGGTCCCAAGTTCACAAAACCTGCACTGACGAGCGTGATGAAGCTTGGTTAAAAACCTTGATTTTCACACACAGCATCGGGACAGTGGCTTGACAAAAGGCCAGAGGTCGCAATCGGGTACCCGATACCCGTACCCTACCAATACCCGGCTACCCGTACCCAGGCGGGTACGGGTACCCGTTTGCGACCCTGGTGCGGCCGGGTACGGGTAGGCCGTGAGTCACTGGTGAGTAACCGTTTGTCACTCATTTCCCAACGTCTTGTCTCTTCTCACAATTCAAGTTTCTAGAATCAACCCACCCGCGCCTGCAACATGGCTTCATCCCAGAGGTCGCAATCGGGTACCCGTACCTACCCGATTCCCGGCCGGGTACGGGTAGCCGGGTATCGGGTACGGGTACGGGTAAGGGTACCCGATTGGGACCCTGGTGCGGCCGGGTACGGGTAGCCGGGTATCGGGTAGGGTACGGGTACGGGTACCCGATTGGGACCCTGGTGCGGCCGGGTACGGGTAAGGAATCAAAACCCGTTTGCGACCTCTGCAAAGGGCCTTAAATTAAATTCGTAGTTACTTGAACTTAAACCGTAACTCCTAACACGAACGCTTAACCATAGCCATGGTCAAACCGTGACATCTGTACCTCAACACCGCGTGTCCTGTTGTCCTCTCCCCCCACTTGCAGGCGTTGGACGGCCGCGGATCGCGCCGAAGCTGGCACGAGGAGACACTCCTTGAGAAGCAGCGGCTTGCTCGGCGCAGCTGCCAGATGGAGTTTGAGGGCTCGGCGCGCCTCTTCCTCGCCGCCGCCTCCTCCTCCTCGTCCTCCTCTGCCTCGTCCTCTGCTCCCAGCTCCACCTCGCCGCTTTCCGCGCACGACCCGATGCCCAAGCGCGCCAGCTTTTCCGGCAGCGCCGAGCTAGTCCAGGTGTCCTGAGGTTGGCGTCGGCTAAACTTTCGTCCGCCGATTTTCCCACCCGTGTTGGATCCCGATTGGCCGTGCACCGTCGATCAACTCTGCGTTTTAGCCCGATGCTTGGCCCCGATCACCCCCTCCGGCTTTCAGCTTCTCCCTCCTGCAAATCCTGCTCACGGAGTGGCGAGCGGATGGCCTTGAAGCGTCCACGCGGGGAGCGGCCGTCGATCAGCCCGAGGACCTCGCGGCGACGGTCGGAGAGGATCCGCACGTTGCCTTAATGCATCGGGGGACTGACCATCCTCGAATTAATTTGCGTATCCCGAGATTGAATAGCTGTGCCGTGACCGCAGCGGTTGCCTTTGCACAAAAACTCTGCTTGTGCGGATGGAACGTCACGTGATCGATTACGTTTTTTCGGAATTTAGCCACTTGTTCTGATCATCTAGCGATCGTTTGCTTTGTCTGTGCTGCACCGTCGTTTTGCGTGCCCCTGTGGGGATGGGGGGGGTGGAAAGGGGGGCGCTCCTTGGCTGTGTGTGGCTGCGTGTGGCTGTGTGTGGCTGCGTGTGGCTGTGTGTGGCCGCGTTTGCTGCTCCCCTGCACAGACCTCGACCGTTGCCCGAATTTCTATGGCGGTGGAGACTCCTCCAAGAGCCATCCCAGTGCGTCTTAACATCGCTGTTACTCTCCAACCTTGATATCTCGAGTAAACTTGTCCATTGACTGGGCTGTCGGTGGTTTGTTTAGCAACGCGCCATTATGTAAATGTGGGCAAATAAGGCGGTGTGTGCGTGTGTGCGTGTATGTGTGTATGCGTGTGTGCGCGAGCGTGATCGGTAGCTCTGCATCCGCTTAACAGCATTTGATAATAACGGAATGTCCCGTTTTTTTACGGTGAGGTTTTAGGCTTACCATCTTTAACCTGTGTGTCGTATTAGTTGTTGGGTTTTCTTTGTGTTTGCAGAGCTGCTGAATTTGCAATGCTGTAACTTTCCGAGCCCGTTTCTCCCCCGCTATTTTGTCGTCGATAGGTTAACCACGCGAAGAAATGGGCAGTTTTAACGACTGTGGTGACGTGAATATGGATGTAATTGCGGTAACCGGTATACACTTTAAATGCTGGAGATTGAGAGATGTACTTGCGAGTGTGTGATGGATGTTGGCATGTGGGGGGCACATCTCTGTGCTTTCTCACAAAGATGCGAATGACCCTTCTGTCGTCTCACTGCGTAACGCGAACGTGGAAGATCCCTGTCACTCACCCTTCTGACATTGAGATTTAAAATAAAATATGTCAACTTGTTGCGGACACGTGTAAGTCACGGTTGAGATTTTTGGATAACGTCAAAAAAGGCTGCGCATTAAAGCAATACAGTAAACCCTTGTTAAATTTCGATTTAAAGCTTTCGTGACTGCAGGGATTCATCTTCTTGGTTCTTTCGGTAAATTCTTCCCTTCTACGTGACTTTACTTGACTTTACCGAAAGAACCAAGAAGATGAAACCCTTGTTAATTCGATACATTTGGGGCTCTGGCCTTGCCGAATGATCCAATATCCCGAATTACGTACAATGGTACTCGCCAATGCCTCCTGCCCCAATTAAAAACAATTCTAAATTTGTTTTCCCAACGCTTCGCACACCATATGCATTGACACACACCCTGCATCAATTCTATCCAACACTTTGGATTTGTCTCTTATATTCTTGGGTTTTTTCGGTAAAGTCACGTAGGTAAAAAATTAAAATTAATAAAAGTAAAATAATAAAAAAATCACGACGTTTTAATTTTTTGTGTTGTCACCAAAATGTGATTTTTATTTTATTTTATTTTTTACCTACGTGACTTTACCGAAATAACCCAAGAATATGAATCCTTGCAGTCACGAAAGCTTCAAATCTAGAATTGTCTCTATTACTTCTGGATATAGGTTTGTAGACGACATTTCTGCGAGGGTTGGCTTGCACAGAGTGCACAAAGCGACGACGGCTCTGCACTACCGCTCACCACGTCCGCCGCCACTGGACCGACTCGTTACATCGGTCGTGGCGTGCGGCGTCGCTGCTCCACGTGCATGCCGACATTGGACCATTCGGCACGAGAATTCGGCTCGTCGCGAATTACAAATTCGCCGAAAGCGCAGCCGTGCCTGCTTATCCCCAATTACGGATGATCATATACCGAAATAACGAGGTTTTACTGTATTTAGATATATTTCACCGCTGACTACTGTTTGTACCCACAGCGATGGCACGCGCTTTCGCGTACGTTTACACACAATGCATTTGTCGCGCGAAAACTGGTGTCAAGGCGCCCTTCCCCCCTTCCAACCCAGCTTAAATAGACGCTCCAAGCATGGTGCTATTTCATTCAGACGCTGTCTCCCCGACAGACCTGGTCTTCACCTGAGGACGGCTGCTTGCGTTGTGGCCGAAACGTCGTGAGAATTATTTTATAATGTTTTTATTTTATTATTTCCATTCTACGTGACTTTACCGAAAGAACCAAGAAGATGGTGAGTGCACGTCAGGGCCCTGTGTGATGCCGCGCTGATTGGCATGGTGAAGCAAAACGGGGTCCAAGCACCACCATCTGTCGGTGACTCCTTGGATTTAAATCAACTCGGGATGTGAGCTGATTTTTATTATTATTTCTGCAGCGTAGATTGAATTACTGTGAAAACGGTGTCTGGACTTGTGCCCCCACCCACCCACCCCCTGACATGCCGCACATGTCAGCGATCCAGCCGATAGGTAACTTTTTATTTTTACTTTATTCAATAATAATTAGAAATAATATTAATATAAATCCGTCAGTTGGTGTCCTTGTCATTTTTAATGGAGTAGGGAAGGGAAACTAAACTAAACTTTCTACTTTAACAGGTAAGGCCCCACTGAGCTATAGAGATTTTTTTCAGAAGCGACCTTGCCACAAATGATAGCTCTAAGAAGTGGATTATCATCACGTGCAAATTTGAAGGGTAAACCCGGAGACCCCGGAGAAAAAAAATCCTCGCGACCACGGGTCGAAAGAGTGAGTAAAACTCCAACTATACAGCAGGCATCAGGGTCGGGATCGAATCCACGACCTGCATACCAGGCGAGGTAATGAACATCTCACCACCGGCGGCTATTTCGCTCATCGGATTCCTCCAGTATAAATATTCTGATTCCATCACACGCAACGCGCACGCATAGTTACACCGACCGGAACAAAGAAACCCCCTAAACTCCTGAGCGCGCGTGTCACCGATGCCGTTGTTAGACAATCGCCGAGATAAATGTGTGAGGAGCAGATGGTGCCCATTGTGGGTTGTGGCGGGACGGGGGGCGGGGGATTGAATTCACAATCAAGAGGCACGGCCTCAAACTTTCTCTTATTGATGCGCGAACGTTAAGGGGGGAGGTGATGGTGGTGGTGGTGGTGGGAGGAGGAGGAGAAAGGGAGAGAAAGACTGAGAGATAGGGGTGTGGAGTGATAGGAGGAGGTGGGGGGGGGTGTGCAAGATGGTTACAAACAAAGGCAGCAAGTAGAGTGAAAGCGCGCACAGAGAGAGACAGGGATGGGGGAGAGGGGCTTCTATTGTGTGTAGAGGGGGGGCGGGGGGGCTAAGTAATGGCACGTGAAGGCCCCTTGTCCAGCGTGCCACTAAATACCATGACGACGCATTCAGGGCGCTTTTCGTTGTTTACAGGACCATGTGTTCGCCACTGAATAGTCCTGGCACCGCGCGCACGCACGCACGCGTTGTGCGTTTAAGAGTATTTGGATGCTGCTATAAATGACCCAGAGTGTTTGCTTGTCTTGCACCAATGCTGCTGCTGCTGCTGTTGGAATAATGCACTCCCAGAAGAAAGTCGTGCGTGTGGCTGATGGGTCGTGTAAGAAATATTTCTGCTTTTTTATCGTTTTCTAATAACATCTCACCACGGCGGTGAGATGTTAACTACCTCGCCTGGTATACAGGAGGTCGTGGGTTCGATCCTGACGCCTGTATATTTGGAGTTCGCGGTGTCTCTTTCCCTGTGGCCGCGTGCGTTTTTAATCGGGCCCTCCGTTTTTTTCCCTCCGCTTTTCGAATCAACGTGGGTTTGGAGTATATGGCTGCTATTGCATTTCTACGTGATAAGCCCACTTCGTTGAGCTATCATTTGTCATGGCCAGGTCGCTTCTGAAAAACAAGCTACGTTGCTCAAGTGGGCCTTAGCTGGTAAAAGAAAACATTAGTTTAGTTTTAGGTCCACTCGATATGTATGTGTCGTTCACTGCATTATTGCTGTATTTTAATAAGCGAGCTCTTTGAGGTTACGTGTCTGTCTTTGAGGTTACATGTCTACGGGATCTGTCTTTTCTCAAAGACGTCGGAGATCATGGCCTTACTTCCATTCAGTGCTGACCACATACAGAACCATAAACTGGCACTGAGACCCATAAACTCACACTGAGACCCATCGACTCACACTGAGACCCATTGACTCACAAAGAGACCCACGAACTCACATTGAGACCTATGGGCTCACATTGAGACCCATAGACTGAGACTCATAGACTCACACTGAGACTCATAGACTCACACTGAGACCCATAGACTCACACTGAGACCCTTAGACTCACATAGAGACCCACGAACTCACATAGAGACCTATGGGCTCACATAGAGACCCATAGACTCACACTGATACCCATGGACCTCACATAGAGACTCATAGACTCACACTGAGACTCACGTACTCACATAGAGACCCAAGGACTCACATAGAGACCCACAGACTCGCATAGAGACCCATAGACTCGCATAGAGACCCATAGACTCACATAGAGACCCATAGACTCATACTGAGACCCATAGACTCACACTGAGACCCACGGGCTAACACTGAGACCCACAGACTCGCATAGAGACCCATAGACTCACACCGAGACCCATAGACTCGCACTGAGACCCACGGGCTAACACTGAGACCCACAGACTCACACAGAGACCAATAGACTCACACTGAGACCGACGGGCTAACACTGAGACCCACAGACTCGCATAGAGACCCACGCGGACTAGCATCGATATCTCTAAATTTACACCCAGAACCACTCGAATAGAGACGCACAGGCCTCGCACAGAGATCTACGCGAATGGGGCTTCATCACAGCGGCCGATGCACCACTGCCGCTACCCCTGACGCAGTCACCCGGCTCATGAACCAGCAAC